TAGAAGAATTTGGTCAAGAAAAAACAAATGAATGCTTTGTACATAATCATGTCCGAGGATGTTCCTATTTTTTTAGGTAAATTAATAATTACATTTAATAATGGCGTCAAACTTGAATTTAATATCTTAATTCATTTGACCAGTTATCACGCCGCTTGTAACTTTTTGGAAAAGAATGGATTATTATCGATTATTCGTGCACATGAAGCTCAAGATGCAGGGTAAGAAATTAAATCACTTAATGAAGTTCATTTTGGTTATTCATTCCAGACATGTTGATTAGGTACCGAATGTATCGTAAGACAAAGACCACCGGTTTTCCTTCTGTTATGACAATCTTTTCAGCACCTAATTATTTAGACGTATATAATAATAAAGGTTTGTCCACATTAACATGCTTCGTATATTATTGGCAAAACGATTAATCGTTGTTTTTTTTATAGCTGCTGTGTTAAAATATGAGAATAATGTCATGAATATTCGCCAGTTCAATTATACGCCTCATCCTTATTGGTTACCAAACTTTATGGATGTATTCACTTGGTCCTTACCCTTTGTGGGTGAAAAAAGTATGCATTATATTTGTGTTATATGTATAAATGTAATTTTAGTCAATTGGAGCGAACTGAACTCAACCATAGTGATGTTTTTCAACTAGTTACGGACATGCTTCTTGCTATATTAAATATCTGTAGTAAAGAAGAATTGGCAGATGAAGAGCTTATGGAAGAAGATAAATCGACAGGTAGGCATGATATAATGTAACGAATGTGATTATAACAATGCTCTTTTTAATCCTTCTCAATAATTTATTAATTTATTTTTTCAGATATAATGCCGATAGATGGACAAGAAAGGCGCCAAGTTATTAAAAGTAAGATCTTGGCGGTTGGTAAAATGGCTAGAGTATTTTCAGTTCTTAGGTATTTTAATCAAGTCAAATCGTGTCTTTTTTGAAATTACACAATAATATTTACTGTTTATCATATCTTAAAACAGAAAAGAATCAGAGAGTGTTATGGAATTAAAGAACGTCACTGGAACTGGCAAATTGCCTTATGGTACTTTAGCTTTGGGTGCTGAAGGCATCAAACAAGGTAGATCACATTACTTATTATTTCTATAACATGAGCGATAATGACTAATTTTATTCTGCACCACGAAAGCCATAACCTCTTTCGAAGAGGCGCGTCGAGCTGATCTCAAAAACGAACGTTTGCCACCACCTCGAGAAGAAGTAAATGCGGATGCGCAAGCCAAAACAAAGGCAGCTATCGAAGAAGCCCTTCAAGAAGCTGAAGAAGATGAACAACTTGCAGAAGTTGCAGAAGTTTTCATTCAAGAAGATGTAAAGAGAAGAAGCTTGAAAGAACCGCTTGTTATTAATAGTTTTAATACTTGAATTTGTTTTTCTTTAATATCTCCAGCCAATTTATTATTATTCAGATCATTTTTATTTGTCAAGATATTACTGTATTAGT